CTACAAGGTCCCTTAAATGACCTTGTCGTACCAGGTCTTCCAGATGTGCCTTCAGGCCTCTGCACCCTCGAGTCAGATGCCCATCTTCATTGTGGTAAACACATTGCTTACCAAGACTTCTTCCTATAAATTCACCCGGAACCCTTACTGGTGTTTTATAATAGGGCTGATTTCGGATTTTTTCCAAGACTTTGTAAACTGGGATTCGGAGTACGGTTGTGACTGCCTGTGCAGCCCTTAATCCTGTTTCTGGCTTATTGTATCCGCCATTACCTCAGCCTCGCTTTGGCGAGCCGTTTCTCTTCTCTTGTTTCGACGCCTTTATTCCCGACATGTCTTCCTCGGCCCTCGCATACTTCTCAATTCTGGCCATCAGTTCCTCCATACTTTTTGGTAGTGTCTTTGCCAATGATTTTCAAAGCAAACAATCATATTTCTGGCCGTTCTTAAAAGACACGACCGCCACCTCTTGGTTGCATCTTGGTATCCGGTTGAATACCTCATAGTACCTCTTGGCAAAAGCCCTAAGGCTTTCATCCTCACTGATTCTCAGAGTCATCAGGAAGTCCACCCTTAATGGTTATAGCTTGTTTGTCACAAACCTGGCCACGAACATCTTGGTTAGGCCTTCTCAGGTTTTCATAGTTCCTTTCAGCAACTTATGAAACCAGTCCAATGCAATTTCCCTGAAGGACGAGGGGAACACCTTGCAAAGCAACGGTTCGTTCCCGGTGTATAGTGCCATCGAGTTCAGGTACAAGCCGACGTGAAAGTTGGGGTCCGACTTACCGTCGTATATCTGGAATCTCGACATACTGAACCTTTTTGGGGCCTCAAATTTTTCCAGCTCTATCGAGAACGACGTTCTCGGCTTAACCAGGGAAGTTACCTTGGCATCCTGTTGCTTCCTCTGGAGGTGATCCCTCAGATCCTCCTTGGTCCGTCTAGGAGCTCGACTATCTTCGGATTTCATCCTTTTCAGCGCACTACTTCCGGTGTCATTATGAGTCCTTTTGGACCTCCCTCCATTGGTCATGTCGAAATAGAGTTCCTTCCCTTGAACATCCTGTATTCTTTAGTGCATGCTTCTTTGGTTCGACTTGTCTTCTGGGATTCTCTTCTCGTTGATTCTCCATGCCCGTCCTTCCGTGAAGGCCAATGAGAATCTCCCTTGGTCCTGTCGTGTTGTGGGACTGTAGGAACTATTTTCTGCCCCCTTTTTCGAGCATCTTTCTTGGCCGCTGGAATCGGCATATCTTGGAACGGGAATGGTGTGCATGACGTTCTTGTAGTACCCCGACCCTCGTATATGATTCTGGTATCTTTTCAGTTCTTTATTCTGTGTTTTTGAATGCTTATTGTGAAATTCTATGTGAAATTACGTTGAATTAAGTGAGACTTGGAATATGGACTCCTATCTGTTTAAGAAGAAAATTATCTGTCGCACTTAAACTGTTTGAATCCAGAATTGGAAGCCTTAGAGACTTAATTTTCTGAAATTGATTTGAGATTTGAAATCTGCATGATTTTTAAGCTATAATGAGATTTTCTGTAAAATTTCAATTTGGGATGATTAAACGATTGAATTTTGTCTTATTCACCCTTTATATATATATATATATATATCAAAGCCCTTTGGACATTTTTGACTTAGAAGTTCAATGAAAAATATCCCTGGGGGAGAATTAGAGAAGAAGAAAAGGAGAGATTCACATAGGGAGAAAAATTGGGGAAATTGAGAGGCTTGGTGGAGAATTGAATCAAGGTATGTAAACACCATCTTAAATCAAGTTCTTTCTTGGGTTTGAGTGAGTTTACCCTTTTAATTGGGAGGGCTAGAGGTTATGTTGAAGTTTTGTGAAAGATGATTGTCTTATTGGGAATTATGTTTACCATGTAGTTGTTTTGGTTGTTTTGGAAATTAATTTGAGTTATGGAGAAGTTACACCTTGCTTCCTTGTTAATCTCATGTAGATACTCATCTATGTGGTTGGATTATATGATTAGATGGATATATACATATGTGTGTGTGTGTGTGTGTGTGTGTGTGTGTGTAAGTGAACCCAAAAAAGAGTTGGATTGTGATTGATTACAATTATAAATTCAAAGTGATTAGGAACCTAAGTTGGTTTATGATTCATTTTTCATGTGATTTTGAACTTTCTTCTTATGTTAAATTGATCTGTTATGAACCTTACCATGTGTCCTTTAAGTTGAGTTTTGTATGAAATTCGGACTACCAAATAGGGGCCAGGCTGCACGTACGGAGGAGAAGAAAAAAAAATGGAGAAGCATACTGTTTTTGGCCACTCGAGCGGAGGAGTGGCACCACACGTGCGGTCCATGGCCGCTCGAGTGGAGGGAGTGGCCGCACATGCGGCCCAAGTTCAAAAAAAATATTCGCTCCATTTTACGTGTTTAACCCCCGGATATTTTTAGAATTTATGTTTGATGCCTTTTTGATGGTTGTAAATTCATTTGAAATGTAATGACTCAGGAAATGGTTTAAAAGGAAAAAGGAACTAATGGATGTTATATATGTGTGTAGGACACACCACAGGAGGAACCATCGCTCCGCAATAACACTGTGAGTAATAGTACAATGAATGTACGCTTATTACTGTAAATGTTTAATGATATTAACGTTCTGATTTCCGTAAATTCTTACGTTAACATGTATATCGATTGAAATTTGGTGGCAATGTGAACAATGATGGCATTATATACACCTGTATATTTCTAGGCCGAAAGGCTATTTTGTATATTTCTGGGCCGAAAGGCTGTTCTGTATACTTCTGGGCCGAAAGGCTGTCGCGGCCGAAAGGCTGTTCTGTTATTTTTGGGCCAATAGGCCGTTCTGAAAATAATACAGCATCAGACTAACGATATGAATTCCATTTTTATGAACGCACTGTTATGTATTATGTTTTAAATTGCGTAGTAAACTGCTTAAGTATTGTTATTCACTAAGCTTATCTAACTCTGAAATTTTGTCTGATTCTGTAGGTAACCAACTTGGAGGTCAGTCCTAACGTCGATATCATCTATCTTTTGTCAACCTAAGTACAACCAGGCACTTGGAGAAGCCCTTTGCATCTTAGTACAGTTTTGTTAAGTTTTGTTATCTTATACTCTAATTGCCGACCAAGGTTGAATTGTATCTAATATTTTGTTGTATGCCCAATTTTTGGGCTGAACTTGTATATATATATACGTATGTATGTACCTTATTCTCTTATGCTTGTTCCCTATATGTTTATTTGCTAGTCGTGATCCTGGCATATTAGAAATGGCTCAATGGATATGTTTTTATGTTATTTCCTAACATCAAGTGCTTCCGTTCAGGCCCTATAGGATATATGTATCAGGTTGAGTGTTCAATTCTGAATAGGTCATGCCCAAAAACTTTTAGGGGCGCGTTAGGGGCGTGACAGTTCTGCATCATGAAATTGACGACCGTTTGCAGGTCCGCCAATTTGTCCGCCATTCCCTTCATCTCTCCGTCCCTCCGCAGGCATCTGTCTTTCCATACCTAGAGGTCGTTCTCGTTATAATACCTGCCTCGATCTGCCTTCTTTGGTACATCACCCTCCTGGCCGACGTCTTTCTCTCTAGGATTCTGATCCCGAGTTTCTTCATTGCAATTATCCTCCTCTACGTTGGGATCAAAGTGCTTACCACTCCCAGTAGGGATATCATCCCCAATCTTTTCTTTCTGTCCGTCGTTGGCCATCTATTCTCCTTTCTTTCCCACAAACAGCGCCAAATTGTGTGTGACAATTTCCGACCACACTGCCAAACAGGTACTCAGCTGGAGAACACTGCAGAATAGATTAAGCCCGAATAACCTGTTACAGAAAGATAAGATTCCGGTGGTGGTTCGTCCATCCGGGGGTACTCCGACGATCAAGTCAGTTATCTCTCAAAGATAGCAAAAGTACGTAACTCATTATTCAGAACACAAAAAGCGTACCTTAGACCCATGAGGGCGCCTTACTTTTATAACCAACACTGACCTGATCTCCATAGAAGCCTAACTTCAATGGACTCTGGCTCAATGCCTATCTAGGACTCTCAAATAGATAAAAATAAACTTCCTAAGAGCTTTATCCTTATCCAGGCTGAAGTCCTTCCTCATTCTAGGACTCTTGTAACGTATCCACTCATCTCGGATTCCAGTATCTCCGTAGATAACCTCGGCCTAGCCGAGGTTACCTCGGTGTCAAGTCCAGGACACGTGGCACCTCAGCTGACACTTCGGTGCCACATTGGCCATGCGTTGCTATCCAAAAAATATATCCCCACAATTAGGGCTGTGCAAAATACTGCCCAATCCGCTAAAATTGCACCAATCCACATCAATCCACACCGCTCTAACCATTAACCGCGGTTTAAACTTTAAATTTTATAATCTGTCAACCGAACCGCTCCGCGCTATAGTTAACATATATATATTGTTTAACTACCAATGAAATATTAATGTAAAAATGAGTGTGAAATATATTTAAGATATGAAATTTATTACAAATTAGTGGTTATATATATGAAACGTATTATGTAAAGTTACTTTGTGTTATATATCTAAAAAATATTATACAAATTAGTATAATATATTATGCAAATGTATGATAATTAGTTAGAATATTCTTCAATCCGCCAATCCGCCAAAAACCGTCAAAACCGCAATTTGTCAATCCGCCAATCCGCTAACCCGCCATTTGGTTTGTAATTTTACTCTAAAACTGCCCGAACCGCACCGCGCACACCCCTACCCACAATATATATATATATATATATATTAATCACACTTCTAATTAAAGTATGATTATATATATATATATATATATTTAATCACATCTTCTAATTAAAATGTGATTATATATACACTACTAGAATAATATTTAATAATATTTAATTTTAATAACACTTTTTAAATAAGTGTGATTGTATAAAACATTTGAATTTGATTTTTATATAAAATATACTATTCCCAAATTCGCACATTTATTCTACCCATGAATGAGAGAGGACGACTCTTTCCATTTGCAACAAGATTGAATTTCACAAACACACAGGTTTCTTCTCCTTCTCCTTGCCTTATGTTTCTGAAACGAAGCCCTATTTCGTTTTCTTCATCACAGCTCCGAACCACCATTAAAGTTGCTCACTCAAATTTGTCTTCTGAAATCAAAAACCTCTTGAAATTTTTGGTGAGTTCTCTGTTTTTTATGTCCTTTTTGTGTGTATATATTTATCATTATGATTATTATTAGTGAAATTTTATAGATATAGGTTTTCATTGTGAATGAGGGTCTTCGGGTGGTAATGATACATGTCTATAAATCAAAAGTTGAAATTGGTAAGGTTTTTGTTAATGGTTAGTGGGCTTTACAGGAGGTGGGTCTATGTTAGTTGATTTATAGAATATGTAACTCCATTACACTAGTGACTATACACACACACACACACATATATATATATATATATATGTATGTATGTATGTATGTATGTATGTATGTATAATATATTTATTTGACACAAACAGAACAATATCTGGGAAAATATTGTTTATATTGCTACTCTATTTCCTTTAATTTGGTTGCAATACTTCATATGTAATATGATTGGCTTCTGGCACTACTACACTGATTGGCCAATCATTGATTATTGCCTTGAAGTTTCCAAATGTTACTTGGATTATAAAATGTGCGATGTGTTATTGACATATAATGCACATTGGATTTAACCAAGCACATTCTGCAGCAGAGTGTTTAAAGAAATCTGACATGGTATATACCGAATTCCTATCTTGAATAACAAAATTTAACATGTGTATATTGAAAAAATGATCTACTTTTCTTTTATGAAGTAATTTGCAGATTAGCTAGAGTCCAAGTTGGTTTCTTTGTTCATTTCATTCCTTTTGACTTGCTTGGTATTTTGAAGCATTGTTTACTAGCATAAATCCTTAATCTCCATAGTGATATGGTTGTTTAATATTCTTTTTTGCGCCAAAATTAGACAATATCTCTTAGAGAAAGCACCCCTATCCAGTTTATTTTTCTTTTATTATATTTTCTTCTCTTATTGAAATTCTTATTCTTCTCAATTTCTCTCATAATCAGATTTTCTCTTCCCATCTAGATAACAAGCTTAATGGATGGTGTTGTTTTTATAACATTCCTTTCTCAAATGAAATTGGTATTCATCGTTTGTTTCTTTCCATTCACTCAAATCTTTTCTGTTTCATCAATTTTATCTGTGAGTTAGGGCTTAAGTTCAGTCCCAAAGGTGTAGTCAATGGACAACATGTGGATATAATGTTTATATATGTTGTAATGTTACATATCTTGGGATTGTAATATAATGTATCTACTTGCAGATTAGACAACCCTAGCAATGTTAGTACAGTGCCAGACATGCTTATATTTTAAATCCAATTTTCAATTTCAACGAGGCAAATATCCCTTTTCCTAAACTTAAATACTGGATTGCTTAGGAATCTATTTCACATATTACATTAATCAAATGATAAATTACATTTGAATTTCAAGCTTCACAAGGTCGAAATACACTTTTGGTTTTAGAAAACAGGTTGTACCTAGTGCATAAGTCTACTGCTTACAATAGAGTCTGAGAGAGGTAGTAGATAGATAGTCTTCCTTCCACTGATGATTATACAAAATCAGAAGCATAATCCTCTCCAGGCTCAAGTCGCCACTCACTCCCATAATAAGAATTAGGCAATCCCAACCAGAACTTGTATGCATTGACCGCTCTCTTCTTCTCACTCCTTCAGTCCTACCTCGATTTCGAGTCATGCTTTCTTGTAAACATCCTCGAATGCATCTCCACCAATTTAGTGCCTTTGCTGCTGCTGTTGCTGCACTTAGTTGCTAATACTGCACTTAGTTGTTGTTGCTGCTCTACTGCTGCTGCTGCAGAGTTATTTTTGCTGCTGTTGTGCAGCAAGTTGCCCACTAAGAACCTCACTAATTTAGTAGCTCAGACCATATCTTCCACACTTTAGAGCACTGCAACAGAACATGGTTACTAGATTCAGCTTCACTTTTACAAAAAAGGGCAAACATTACTAGAGCACTAATTTTTTTTTTTTTCTTGCAAATAGTCAGCTGTTTTCACCCTCCATTACCAAGCAATCCAGCCAAAAAATTGGGTTTTAGGAGGGGCAACATTAAACCATAATAGCTTAGACACAAGCAAATTGGATCCATGTTGGTCGTCAGCCCACATTCTGATAGCGGCCACAGAACTTTGAGTTGAGAACACGGAAGCAAGATCAAAGAGTTGAAGAAGAAATATGTCACAAAAAGTGTGATCAATATAAGAAGAAATTCTCCTAATTTTAAGGTTTTCATTCTCTCTCTAGCCAATCTCTTTATGTAGGCAGTGTATTATAGTGCTTGATATGAAGCATATTTCAAGTTTTAGTTATATATAGATCTCATGGTGGAAAAAATACATTGGAGACTTCAAATTTATTAGTGTTTCTACAAGTCAGGATAGACTATTGAGTTAAATAATAACTAAAAGCCCCATTATTAGTTTATGAGTTGCGCTATAGTGTTTTATGTGTACTTGACATCACAATTTCCATAACCATTAAAACACTCGGCAGCAAAATAGAGCTAGCAGCAGCAAAGCAGAATCAACAGCAGCAAGACAAAGACACACTCACACACAACACCTAGACAGCTATTCATAGCAGCTAAACTAAAGCAAACACAATTCAAACTAGAATTTATAGATAGTAACAGCAGGCAGACACGACACCTAGATAGATTTACACAGCAGATCACATCACACTCCAACAGAATGTGTAGACAGACCACTAGAGTTTAGCCTAACCAGTTCCATATTTGAGGTACCAACACAAAAACAGTAAACAACTCTATTCTACATAAAGAAATACAACAATATTCCATGAGGGAGAGGGCACTTGACTAGCGCAACATGCAGCCTGGTCTTCATGTCTACAACCTCCCCTCTATCACTATTGATTTTAGCAAACCTGAGTATGACACTCCACATAAGTAGGCATCATATCCAAATAATACAAAACCTGCATAACCAAATCTCACTACACAATGAATTATTAAGTCACTCAACCCACAAATGTGCCTCACACTTATCAAGAAAAGTAGGTACTTAGGGAATCTACACACAATTTTGGTCTCACTACACTCAACCCACTTTTACGAACCATATAACACTCAAACTCACAATGCTCCCTCTTGTACCTGCAATAGAAGATACACACAGATAGGCAAAAGATAAAATTAGTATAAACCCACAGATATATGGTCTCATACCACTCAACCCACATTTTAGTAATCCTCACAATCCTCAAATCTAGCTACACCTACAAAATAACACACAAAATTAATGTAATTTCACTCCATATATGCTCTTAACACTCCACCCACAATATATAAATCTCACAGCTCACTCTTTCAACAACAGGCTCACTCAATATATGCTCACCACCACTCAACCCACAAACAAAATAGACAACCTCAATGCTTGAGGATTGTTTTAGAAAGTCTCCAGGAGCTAAGAAATCACTCATCATTATTGGATTTTTTCGCATATGATAGAGCCATAGCTCTAAATCTGATCATATTAATAATGTTCTGGATCACAACCTCTTCTGGTTTCTTTTCATTGTTGAAAATTCTCTTGTTTCTTTCTAGCTATATATGGTAAGCAGTACAACAGAAACTCAGCTTCCTAATAATAGTAGCCAAGGTCATGCCTTTACATTGATTATCCACAGTCATAACAATTTCAGTCCAAGCAAACCCATGCCAGTTCACCTTACATTTGGTTTTCAGGGCTTTCCAAACGATAGAGGAATATGAGCACCTAGAGAATAGGTGATTATAATCCTCCCCCACAATGCCACATAGTGGACAATTTGTTGCATTTGTTATACCAAAAGTAGCCACCCTGTCCTTACTATTAAGACGACCAAGAATAGCCAACCAAACCACAAAACTAGCCTTAGGGATTGAGTAAGGGCCCCAAAGAAGACTAGCCCAACCCACCTTAGGACTTTTAACCCTCTACTGCTCCCAAGCAGAACCAATGTTGAATATACCATCTTGCCTAGGGAGCCAAACAAGTTTATCAGGGTTCAATCTCACACTTTAGAGCACTATGAACTTGGGATAAGCCAGCTTTATTTGTTACAAAACAAGTCTAAGTAAGAGCGCCAAGTGCAGGCTAAGCTGCAGCCAGAGCTACAGCCAGAGCTGCAGCCACAGACCAGGTTGCATACTTAACTTCAACAAAACACCAGGCTGCAGCCCAAGCCACAGCGGCTACAGCCTAGGCCACAAGCTCAAAACAGAGCAATATCAGTTGCAACCTAGACCATGTCTTATATATGTTACTTAAATGATTCATCTACAAGCCTCTAAATACACCACAAAATTATATAAGTACTCCTAAAAATTCATTTAAATTACAGTCCCTTTAAAGTACATTCACCATTAAAGAGAAAGTTAAAAAAAAGTCCAAATACCGTGTGGATGCCCCATTTACTAATACATTTCAGTTTCAGATGAGGATAAATTACACTAAATTCAAACATAAATGGATAGTAATGCACTTCAGATAAGGATTTATTTTGATTTGTTAATGCTTTTACTACTACTGCTGCACTTAGTTGTTGTTGCTGCTGTTGCAGAGCTGTTTTGCTGCTGTTACAGAGTGTTTTTTACTGCTACTGTATGTTACTGCTGCTGCCAGTTGCTGCCTCTTTTGGGAGGCAAACCACCTAAGTGAGTTAGGCAGCCCACTTGGAGCCCTGGGGCTTTTCATAGCAGTGTGTAAAGCCTGCACCTCTCGTCTTGGATATGAAACATTCAATATAAATGATAGTATTGAATAATGAATGCCTAGATTGTTTAGACTTTGTGGAATTATTATTATTATTATTATTATTATTATTATTATTATTATTATTATTATTATTATTATTATTTTGTAAGTTTGTTTGAGGTATTTAATGTTTTATCAAAGAAATTGTACCTTCTCAATGACATTCCTTTAAGGTTATCAATTGTGTAGCCTCTAGTTTATTGTTTTATATTCTAATTTCTTTGTTGATATAGGTATTCAAAAATACATTTAAAATGGACAAATCTTGGATGTTCAAGGATAGAAGATCAAAAGACTACGAGAATGGAGTTGAACAATTTCTTAATTCTGTTATAATCCATGCAAGTGATCTTCAATCCATACGTTGTCCTTGTAGAGTCTGCGGAAACTTGAGAAGCCAACCTATTCGAGAGATTAGAAATCATATTTTTTTTAATGGTATTGACCAAAGTTATTGTAACGCCCTCAAAATAATACATAAAACCCCACATTCTTAACATGCATTGATATAAGAGAAATAAACAATTTTCCATTCATCAGAGTAGTCCTTACAAATATGTTACATGTTGACAACAAAAATAAATGCCCAACGGCTTACAACTTTCCAAGCCAACACTTAGTTACACAAAAGAGAGTACTAACTCATATCATATTAAGCCCTTGGCCTGAATTTACATGTAATACAACAAAATATAACAAAACAACAAAATGAGTCTTCAACTCTCAAAACCTTCCAAGCTATGTCCTTGGAGGTGGCATATCACCTAGACCTGAAAAAGATGTCCCATATAGGGTGAGCCACAGCCCAGTAGAGATATACTAAACCAAATATAAGCAATGACTAAAACAATAGCATTTGATAGATGGTTAACACTTATAAACCAGTTATATTACAATAAAGTTCCATGTCACTTGTGCCCATGTTACATTTCATTTTCCTTTACTTATCCGAATCAATTCACATACATGGCTCAGAACCTGGCCAAACAATTCAATGAGACCATAACTCATATACTAACACTTCCATATTTCACAACAGATACACATATTTGTTGTATCAATACTTCAATTTAATACACATATTTGCTGTATTAATGGAGTCCATCCCCTATCTCCTCCCAAACAGGTTTGAGAGTCCATCCCTTATCTTCCTCAAACCATGGAGTACATCCCCTATTCCTCCCACACATTACACATATTTCAAGTATATAAACAATTATCATATACAGGGGTCACTCAATACACATATTTGATGTATTATTCCAACTGTCATATTCGATGACATATTCAATGTGATTAGTTTCGGTTTTCCCTAATCAACATGCAGTGTCTACAACAATCAAGACTATCCTCCACCGATAGCCCAAAGCAGTTATTTCTAAACAGATAATAAATGCATCAATAGATATAATATCAACGTTTTCATAGGTGAGTGATAAATCAATCCAACTACACCATTTAATCCCATAATTTTCCAATTTCACATTTTCCCAAATTAATTATACAAATTAATTATTCATTACAATTAGGGCATTTTCTCAATTTTTTCAATAATAGCCCTATGGCTCATTTTTCTCCCATAATCCATAAACAACCTCTATTTCAAGTCTATATCACAAATATGACTCAAACATGGAAAACCCCTCTTTTAAACAAATTACAAAACAAACCCTAACTTTTCCAAAAATTACCCAACAACCCCAACATATCAAAATGCCCAAAATTTATGACAAAACTCATAGGATGGAGTAGGGTATCCCTACCTTGAAATGAAGAGCTCAAATGGAGATGATGACCAAAACCCGAAGTGCTCCAAATCTGAGATTTTTCAGATTAAAACGAAGCCCAAGCCACCCTCTATCTTTCTTACAAAGGACTTAGGGTAGAAATACACTAAAACTAGATGAATCCCTAGAGAGAGAGCATGTAGAGAGAGGAAGCTCAGATCTAGGGTTTGCAAAACAAAAGGGATGAAAAAGTGAAGTGTTTACCCGCTGCTGTCTACTGATATAACACAGGCTCGCTCGAGCGAAGGATTGGTTGCTCAAGCGACCAGACACAAGGAACTCTCGCTCGAGCCAAGAATGCGAAGCTTCAGGTCTGCAACCTAGAAGCACGCTCGAGCGACAGAATGCTCGCTCGAGCAACGAAACCTAAAACATACATCTCGCTCGCTCGAGCCAAGAAACACAGCTCTTAGGTCCAGAATTAGACGCAGACGCAGACTCAAGCTCGAGCGAAGGACTTCAAGCTCGAGCCACTAGATACAAAATTCAACTCTCGCTCGAGCGAGGAACCCTGGCTCGAGCGAAGGATCTAAAACACAGCGCTTGCTCGAGCGACAAAGTCCTCGCTTGAGCGAAGACACCAAAAACTGGGTAGTAACCATTTGCTCCCAATCACACCAAACCTGTAGCAAACCTACCCAACACATCCTATAACTTAAAAATAAGGAATCAAAGGATGATATCACGATATATACAACAACAAGCTCCACGGAACCTAAGTCCGAATACAACAACCAAATGGGAAAAGACCGGGATCGCTATAGTTATACCACATGGATATGGCATGGAGAAGTAGTCACTAGTGGGGTATCACCATGTTTAAATGAACAAGATTTTTCCCAACAACAATTTGACACGTCTCCCATAGACAATGTAGCTAAAACAATAGAAATGGTTTAAGATGCATACGATCATTGCACAGTTGATCCTGAAGTGTTTAAGAAATTACTTGAAGATATGGAAAAACCATTGTATATGGGTTGCACAAAGTTTACCAAGTTATCTGCATTAGTTAAATTGTATAACTTTAAAACTACAAATAGCCTATCTCACACTGGGTTTTCAAATTTACTGACGTTGTTGGGTGATATGTTGCTAATGAACAATGAAATACCATCATCCATGTATGAGATTGGGAAGACGTTTGCTGCATTGGGAATGAGATATGAGAAAACCATGTTTGGCACTTCTTTCAAAATCTGTTTTCTCAAAACGATTTGCCGGATTTGGACTCTTTGGTTCAGACTTAGAACCGTGACTACACGAAGTCGAGTCCGAGCTGTAGCGAGGTCCCCCGCGGGCTTGTTACACCTACATGTGGTACATTAAGATAGAAGTTGAAGAAGAATTCCACTAAAATAAGAAAGGATGTGACTACAAAAGTTTTATGGTATTTTCCACCTATCTTAAGGTTTCGAATTCCAATCAGCAAAAATAATGAAGGATTTGACATGGCATGTTCATGAAAGAGATTTTGATGGCACAATGTGTCACCCTATAGATTCTCCATCATGGAAGTTAGTAGACCACAACAGGCCAGATTTCACTGCAGAGCCAAGAAACCTTTGATTAGCTATTTCTGCAGATGAAATAAATCCACACAGTTCCCTTAGTAGTAAGTATAGTTGTTGGCCAGTTATAATGATTACCAATAATCTTCCACCGTGGTTATGTATGAAGAGGAAATTTATGTTGTTATCATTGTTAATATCAGGTCCACAACAACCTGGTAATGACATTGATGTTTACTTGGCACCGCTAATTGATGATTTGAAAATATTGTGGGAGGTAGGTGTTGAAGCTTATGACGCTTATAAAGAAGAACACTTTAAGCTGAAGACTATATTGTTGTGGAAAATTAACAACTTTCCAGCATTAGGCAATTTGAGCGGCTGTACTGTAAAGGTTTATTATGCATGCCCAATTTATAGTGAAGGAACATGTTCTCACAGATTAAAATATGGTAAGAAGAACACATATGCTGGCCACAAAAAATTTCTTCCACGCTACCATCCATATCGGAGGCAAAAAAAGGCTTTTAATTGCGAGCAAGAGTTTGGATTAGCTCCAATACCATTCATTGGGGAGGAAATATTAAATAAGGTTGAAGGGCTTGTAACCATATGGGGAAAGAAAAATAAAAAAGTATTAGATGTTGGTGGTACAAAATGTTGGAAGAAAAAATCATTATTCTTTAATCTTGAATATTGAAAGTACTTACACGTTCGACATAATTTGGATGTTATACATATTGAGAAGAATGTGTGTGAGAGCCTCATTGGTATGTTACTTAATATTCCAGGAAAAACAAAGGATGGAATTAATTCTCGCCTAGATCTGTTAGAAATGGGTTTGCGTGAAGAATTGGCACCACAAATTAGGGAGAAGCGAACATACTTGCCTCTAGCATGTTACATATTGTCTAAGGAGGAGAAAAAAAAGAGTATGTACAACATTATTGGAATTGAAGTTTCCAGAAGGATACTCTTCAAATTTGGGAAGTCGTGTATCAATGCAAGATTTGAAACTTTATGGTCTAAAATAACATGATTGTCATGTATTGATGCAATAGTTACTACCTGTAGCAATACAATCTGTGTTACCTAAACATTTGAGACATGCCATTATCAGGTTATGTTTCTTTTTCAATGCTATTTGTAGCAAAGTGGTGAATATGGAAAAATTAGATAAGATTCAAAAAGATCTTGTGGTCACATTATGTTTGCTTGAAAAGTACTTGCCACCTTTGATCTTTGATATCATGGTGCATTTGACAGTGCATCTTGTTAGAGAAGTTCAAATTTGTGGACCAATTCACTTTAGATGGATGTATCAATTTGAGAGGTTCATGAAGATCTTAAAGGGTTATGTTCGTAATCATAATTGTCCTGAAGGTTGGATTGTTGAAAATTATATTGTAGAAGAAGCTGTTGAGTTTTGCGCAGAGTACTTATCTGGAGTGGATGCAATCGGGATTCCTTCTAATAAGAACATGACAGTTGATGATGATATAGAAATTAGAAGGCCTTTATCAAGTGGTTATGTTGTACTGTTGATCATAATGAATGGAAGCAAGCACATCGTTATGTGTTAGAAAGCACAAGTGACATTCAACTATACATTGAGTAAGAATATTTCATGTACATTTTTGTACAATTGTATTCTCACAAGTTAGAGATTTATCTCATAATATATTTCTTTATTCATGATTTGATATGGAGCATATGGCTTGGTTGAAGCTAAAATAT